AAAAAAAAAAAAAAGAGAAGAGAGATGAACATTTTCGATTTGAAGCTTTATTTATTTATTTATTTATTGAAACAGGGTCTTGCTCTGTCGCCCAGGCTGGAGTGCAGTGGTATGATCTTGACTCATTGCAACCTCTGCCTTTCGAGTTCACGTGATTCTTGTGCCTCAGCCTCCCAAGTAGCTGGGACTACTACAGGCGCATGCAACCACCCCTGGCTAATTTTTTAATCTGTAGCAGGGATGAGGTTTTGCTATGTTGGCCAGGGTTGTCTTGAACTCCTGCCCTTCAGCGATCCACACAGCTCAGCCTCCCAAAGTGCTGGGATATAGGAATGATTCACTGTGCCGGGCCACATCATTTGATTTTAACACTAGGGGAGTTCTCTGTTTCAGACCTGTACAGTAGAGTGGATCCTGCATAGATTGTCTTGTGAATGACCTTATTTAAGCCCCAAGAATCAGGTTGCTTGGTGAATTTATCAGTAATTATAGTAATTCACTGTTAATAACACTGGATTAGACCTCTAACCCTGGGAAGATGGGCTCGCAATTCTAGGGAGGTGCCTAATGGCCAGGATTCTTCAGTGCCCACTCCTCTGATGAGTGGACTCTAATACTGAGAGGGCATGCTTCCGAAAGGAAGGTGCATTAGCTTTATAGACCTACAAAATAAAGTGTAATCTGCAGAATCTTTTCAGTAACATGATTAATGCAGTATCCTTGGCATTGCTAATGGAGTGTTTTGAAGTGTTAGGGGAACGTACATGTAGAAGATGTCCCCAGTTATCCACAGCAAAGGATAATTAGCATTGCTTTCCTTTTTTTGTATTATAGTCATTCATCTATCTTTAGTAAATGTTTTGGTGATATAATAGGATCTTCCTTAGTTTTTTTTTTTTTTGGCCAAGAATCTACCCAAGACCTATCAAGTTTATATTAATAATAACTGTCTCATTGTTGTAGGTGAGAGGATCCATTCCCAAAACTGACTGGTGCAAAAACTGAGCAGTAGGTAGATCCTGGAAAAGTAAACCAGGAAGTTCAGCGTATTCATTATCTTGTTTGAAATACTGCATGCCATTTTAGACTACCTGGATTATATTTACATGTAAATTTTTAAAAACTAAAAGCCTAAGCAAGTGGTATTCGCATAACAGAGTGCTTTGGATTTTCATTTCACTACCCTTTTGGTTACATATGAATCTTTATTTGTAACAGCTACCCCAACCACAACCAAGCAAGCACTGCCCACCTCCTCACCTTGATGGTCTGTATCGCCCCAGATCCTCTTAGGTCGCGCAGGCTATCTATGGCTTGCTCTGGTGATACTGTGTCAGACAGGTACAGTAGGAGACAAGCGGCCACTAATGGAACATGACAAAAAAATAATGTCATTAAATAATTATTGACAGGGTAGAGCATTTTATATTTAATAAGACTTCTGTTGACACAGAAGACTGGTGTAATTGTTCCAAATGAATTAAAAGCCTGAACTTTTAATGTGTGTTTTTGACAGTTAAATTATGATCTTAAATGACAGTATGGTTGAATGAAAGTTTAACATTGGCTTCATTCTTTCATCCGTTTTAAGTGTTCATCCATTCAGTGATATTTAGTATATTCACAGATAGGCGCAACCATCACCACAGTCAGTTTTAAAGCATTTCCTCACCTCAGAAAAAAGTGTACCCTTTTACTATCTTCCTCTATTCCCATCAGCCCCTACCCTGGGCAACCACTAGTCTACTTTGTCTCTGTAGATCTGCCTATTGTGAGCAATCACATCAATGGAAACATACAATATTTGTGTGTGTGTGTCTGATTTCTCTTAGCATAATGTATTCAGGGTTCATACATACTGTAGCATATGTTTGTATTTAATTCCTTTTTATGATCAAATAATATTCCATTGTATGGATATGCCACACTGTGTATATCCATTTGCCAACTGATGGACATTTAGGCTCTTTCCGTTGTTTGGCTATTATGATTAATGCTGCTATAAACATTTGTATACAAGTTTTTGGGTATATACTTTGGAGTGAAATTGCCGGGTTATATGTTAATGTTTACCTGTTTGAGGAACTACCGCTAGACTATTTTCCAAAGCAGCTGCACCATTTTACATTCCCACCAACAGTGTATGAGGGTTCAAATTTCTCTACATCATTGCCAATACTTGTTATTTTTCATTTTTTTAAATAATACCCTTTCTAATGGGTGTCAAGTGGTATGCATTGTGGTTCTGATGTGCATTTCCTGATGATTAATAATACTGAGCATCTTTTCATGTGCTTATGGACTATGTGTGTATCTTGCCTGGAGAAAGGTTTATTTGGATCCTTTGCCATTTTTAAAATTATGTTGTCTTTGTTTATTATTATTATATTGAGAGAGAGGATCTCACTTTGTCATTTAGGCTGGAGTGTAGTGGCGTTAACTCGGTTCACTGGTGCCTTGACGTCTTGGGCCCAAGTAGTCCTCCAGCCTCAACCCCCCAGGGAGCTGGAGCTACAGGCATGCACCACTATACCTGGCTAATTTTTGTATTTCTTGTAGATTCGGGGTTTCACCATGTTACCCACGCTAGTCTCAAACTCCTGAGCTCAGGTGATCTGCTGCCTTGGCCTCCCAAAGTACTGAGATTACATGCATGAGCCACCAGGCCCAGCCTATCTTTTTATTACTGAGTTGTAAGAGTTCTTTTTATATTCTGGATACAAAGCCTTTATCAAATACATAGATTGCAAATATTTTTTCCCATTCTATGGCTTGTCTTGTCATTTTGATAGTATTCTTTGAAACACAAAAGCTTTCTATTTTGATGCCATCCATTACTAAAAAAAATAACTGTTACTCCAGTGTGGCATTTCATGAGCTCTTTTTGTTTTTCCTAGTATGTTTTAAAAAATTTTTAAATTAACATATAGTAATTAACTTTTGTATTCATAAGTAGTTACCCATGGAAACTATTTGGAGGTTATCGTATTATAACACCGACACAGGAAGAACATCAGAAAACGTTAAAAAATAAGAATGCAGGTGTTAAGACTTGTAAATGATGTTTTGCCAGAATCCTCCAGAACAATGCGAAAATAGCTCCCACTCCCACCCAAGCTTTCCAGGGAACACCATGCTTAGGGCCTTAAGTAATTCTTTGAGTCTTAGCAAACTTATATTGTGGTTGGTTCCATTTTAATACAAAATGATCATATGGTCCAGAAACAGAAGTTCGTCTATTTTGAAGTTAAAAAATAATAGAAATAGATTTCTTACCAAGACAAGATCTCCCAAGTCCTCCATAACAGCTGAAAGGGAAATACAGTTTTGAAGTTTGTACATTTCATTCCATCCCCAGTTACAACCAAAGACTCACTCTTTCTGCCTTCTATTTATAACTCTAATGCCTAGCACAGTGCCTTGTGCACATAGCTTAATAAATCTTCTATTTGGTGAATTCCTACTCATCTTTTAAAACCTCAAATTTCATTTCCTAAAATGCCTTTGTGCTCCTACAGAAAGGATCATTCTTCTGTGTGCCGCCTCTCCTGTCTTACTGCACTTAAATGGTAGTGTTGTTAGTTAGAAGCTCCTTGAAAGTGGAACTGTGCCTCCTTTGGTAGTTGCAGAGTGTGGCACACAGTAGATGTAATTGGTTGAATTATGTTTCCCCAAAAGACATGCTGAAGTCCTTATCCTATACCTGTGAATGGGACCTTATTCAGAATTAGAGTCTTTGCAGGCATATTCAAGTTCAGAAGAATTAGAGTGGGCCCACATCCTAGATGACTAGTGTCCTTACAAGAGGAGAACACCATGCAAAGACACAGACACGCAAGGAATAGTGTGATGACAGAAGTGTATTGGAGGGATTCGGCTGCAAGCCAGGGCCTGCCAAGGATTGACGGCCACCACCCGAAGCTAGGAAGAGGCACGGAAGGACTCAGTCTCAGAGGCATGGCTCTGCTCTCACCTTAATTTCAGACTTACATGCTCTAGAAATGGATAATAAGAAATTTCTGCTGTTTTCAGCTACCCAGTTTGTGGTACTTTTTGTTAAAATAGCCCAAGGAAACTACAAAATACAGTAGGCAAGCAGTGATCACTGATTTTATAAAGGGCAGAAAATGCCCAGGCAGAACCAGTGAGACGGCACTGGTAGACAACAGGACAGTGAAAAAGGTATATACCCTGTGCTGAAGGATCAGCTCTGTAGCTGTCTCACAATGTGGGTCTCAAAGATGGCAGGATGGAGAGAAAATAAACTAGTCACTGTAGGATACCTTTAAAAGCTCTGGGACAATGAAAAATTCCAGTTGTCAGATGCTTTATTTTATGGGAGACTGAAACATTCAGCATATGCACAGTTACCCGTCCACTGTCTATCCTGCTTTTCTAGTGCATCATTACCTTTTAATCCTTACAACAAACTATGAAGCAGGTAATAACTGAATAGGGCTACAATAGTTTCAGAAATCATTTTGTCTGAGACATTTCTCATGTAGCATATGGAGAAAAGGAGAACGTACTGTATTAAGGTTTTTCGGTTATTTTTAAGGCAGATTGCAAGCTCCTCCATTATTTCACAGCAGCAGGCTATGTCAGGAGTACCTCCATCTGCGATTGGATGATGATGGGTGATGATTCCACACTGCTGGTAGAGATCCAGAAGGTTTGGGACTCTATATTTTGACAGTTCCCCTCTGGTGCAGAAAACAAATATGTCTTGTATACCACAGCTCTTTAGTTCTTCTGCCAATAGACCAGGATACACAGAGACACACACATAGAAAACATCACACATTTAAATACCAGCAAGAGGGAGAATATGAAGCTAAGTTTCTTAAGCCAAAGTAATACCAAATGACAATCTATAAATCTGAAGTCCCTATTGATATATCTGAATCAAAAGGCAACGAATTAAGCCTGATTTTACAAGTCAAAATGCCTCTTACTGAATTTCAAGATAAGTCAATTGCTGTTCTTGCAAAAATTTTTTTTTGCAATAAATACTGGTTTAAAATAACAATATTGAGTAGCAAACACGGTTGACTTTGTGAGAAAAAGAAAAAAAGTGCTATCAATTAAGGAATGATAGATCTATGTTCAATTAAGGAATGATAGCACTTTTTTTCTTTTTTTTTTCCACAAAATCAACCATGTCTGCTACTTCATCACTTAGCTGTTTGCTTGACTCTGAGTATTGTATATAAAGTCTCCAGCAGGGCCCTGGCACCAGAGTGCTAGCATTCTCCCTCATATCTGCACTGTAACATATCCTTGTGTATTTAATTTTATTGACTAGGTCTCCAGAAAATAAAACATTAACTGTATTAAGCTTATGTGAACTAGCTATTTTCATAATAATGATATGAATACTATAGGCATTCTATACACTGGAACTTCTTTATGGCAATATTCACTATAGAGCATTTGGTTTAAAATAAATAATTCTGGCTGATCTAAGTGCCCCCAACCCCAGCCCTCTCCCTACCCCTTAAATCCAAGGACATTTAGCTATTTAAGTACAGAGTATTTTCTCATGAACTAGTCCCTGAGATATACAGTACTGTACATCTGTTTGCCTCTTGTACACAGTTGGTAATTTTTATTATCCAGTGATTTTCCAACTTTCTGAAAAATGGCTGAGGAGGTATCTCAGGAACTGCTGCAGAGAGATTCTAGGTCTCCCATCAAATATTTTGACCTGTTTTATGTACTAGATTCCATTTCAGATTTCATTGCAGAAAAAAAAGCTTTTAGAAAAAAAATTGGAAACCACTTTTATAGAAAATGCTAAATGAATATGGCAGTCAAAATGTACAAGACTGACTTGGAGCCAATGATTTAAATTACACATATTTGCTTATGACCTAAATGTTCTCCAAATGTAAATTTCCTAGCATGGTGGGTGTATCTAAAGCAAAAAGTTTTTATAAATACTACAAGGGTCAACTATCTATTAGGGTCTTTAAGTCTTTCTTTGGTAGGTAAGGAATATATATATTTTTTGAGACAGGGTCTTGCTTGGCCACCCAGGTTGGAATGCAGGAATGCAATCTCATCTCAGCTCATTGCACTCTAGCCTGGGCGACAGAGCATGACTTGTGATCTGGGCACCATCTCAGCTCACTACAGCTTTGATTTCCTTGGCTCAAGCGATGTTCCCACCTCAGCCTCTCATGTTGCTGGGACTATAGGCGCATGCCATCATGCCCAGCTAATTTTTGTATTTTTTGCAGAGACAGGGTTTCGCCTTATTGCCCAGGCTGGTCTTGAATTGAGCCCAAGCAATCTACCCGCCTTGGCCTACCAAAATGCTGGGATTACAGGTGTGACCCACCGCACTTGGCCAGGAATAAAGTTTTAATTAGCAAACTGATGTTCTGGAATAACCATGAAAAGGTTTTAAGGTTCAAAAATTCTATACTGGTCAGAAACAAGCAATATATACATTTTAATTTGCTGTACTCTAAGGACATTGGTAGAACTAGTAGATTTGAGACATTCCAGGCCAATCAGAATAAAATCTTTTGAAAAATTCACATTTGTGGGCTGAGCATGGTAGCTCATGCCTGTAATCCAACACTTTGGGAGGCCCAGGTGGGGGGATCACCTGAGGTCTGGAGTTCAAGACCAGTTTGACCAACATGGAGAAACCCCATTTCTACTAAAAATACAAAATTAGCCGGGCGTGGTGGCACATGCCTGTAATCCCAGCTACTTGGGAGGCTGAGGCAGGAGAATTGCTTGAACCTGGGAGGCGAAGGTTGTGGTGAGCTGAGATGGTGCCATTGCACTCCAGCCTGGGCAACAAGATCAAAACTGTCTCAAGAAAAAAAAGAAAAGAAAAGAAAATCAAGAAAATCCATATGTGTTAGTATCATGCAATATGTAAATTCCAAATTGGAGCAGATTATGAGGATTATTAGACTTGTGGCTATTCTGGTATGAACATCCTTGAGCATGCAAAAACCAGTTCCCACTCTGTCTTTTCCATCTAGATGCTGGCTCTCAACATTTTCCATCCAGGATTCACAATTTCACTGTTGACTTGGAGTTCCCAGCTCAGACTTAATTTCTACTACCACAGTCAAGTCTGCAAGGAACAGCAAAGACCTGGGCATAGCAATATGTCAGTTTTCTATTTACATACTTTTTCCCCACCAACTTCTACCTCAAATGCAGTTTATATGTATAATATAACTACAACAATCAGTGAAAAGCAACTCCATGAGTAGGTAAATGCTGAGTCCTCTGTGCCCTTTCACAAATACCTCTTTACATATTAGAATAAGTCTATAGTTTGAAACTTCACAAAATATTAAAAATGTATTCTTATATTAAAAACAAACTATTGTTTGTTCCTTTTGACAGAGAGATTTTCAATGTTATTTATTTAAGAAACCCATTAGGCCTGGAATCCTAGAACTTTGGGAGGCTGAGGTGGGCAGATCACGAGGTCAGGAGTTCGAAACCAGCCTGACCAACATGGGGAAACCCTGTCTCTACTGACAATAAAAGAATTAGCTGGGTGTTGTGGCATGTGCCTGTAATGCCAGCTACTCAGGAGGCTGAGGCATGAGAATCATTTGAACCCGGGAGGCGGAGGTTGCAGTGAGCTGAGATTGCACCATTACACTCCAGCCTGGGCAACAGAGTTAGATTCTGTCTCAAACAACAACAACAACAAAAACCCAAAAAATCCTATTAGTGTGGTTGTGTGATATTACACCTACCTGTGTCTTTTTCAACATTTCTTCTAACATCTTTAAATTTACAACCTATAAGTAATAATAAAGCAAGTAAAAAGGTCAGCTTTTGGTCATATATAACAGATATGCTTAAACACTTACATAGATAGCTACTTTATAAAGTCATTCCACATGATCATTGATATGTTTCAGTTCTATTCTGAACGTCAATGTCAATTTCTTCTATTTCTAGGAATATAATTTCAGGGGTTCATCCTCATCAAGGATTCTGTATTCTGTGTCTCTTCTGTAGCAAGTACCTGGTTATAGTCCTCAGCCTCATTTTTACCCCAGGCTTTAAGCTTTATTAAGATGGGAAAAGCAGAACTGAAGAACTGTGACTGCAGATCTGGAAGGGACAAAAGGTAGATCTATGTTTCTTTATCTAGAGTCCACCATGAGGGCTTCTCAAAGTGTGTTCATCTGTGCTGACGGTCTGTGAAATTTCCTTATTGCTCAGTACAGAGAATGATGTATATTGATAAGATACTTGTTCTAAATACACTGTTGGCATGGATGTGGTGAAAAGGGAACACTTTTACACTGCTGGTGGGAATGTAAACTAGTACAACCACTATGGAAAACAATGTGGAGGTGCCTTAAAGAACTAAAAGCAGATCTACTATTTGACCAAAAATCCTGCTACTTAGGTATATATCCAGAGGAAAAGAAATCATTATATGAAAAAGATACTTGCATACACATAGTTCTAGCAGGATAATTTGCAATTGCAAAAATATATAACCAGCCCAAATGCTCATCAGTCAATAGCAGACAAAGAAAATGTGAGATTCCCAGGCAAGATGGGCAAATAGGAATAGCTCTGGTCTGCAGTTCCCAGCGAGCCCAGTGCTGGGAAGATGGGTGAGTGGCACCTGGAACACCAGCAAGACAGAACCTTTCACTGCCCTGGAAAGGGGGTTGAAGTCAGGGAGCCAAGTGGTCTTGCTCAGTGGATCCCACCCTCAATGGAGACCAACAAGCTAAGATCCACTGGCTTGAAATTCTCTCTGCCAGCACAGCAGTCTGAAGTCAACCTCGGACACTCAAGCTTGGTGCGGGGAGGGGCGTGCCATTACTGAGGCTTGAGTAAGCGGTTTTCCCCTCACAGTGTGAACAAAGCCACCCGGAAGTTCGAACTGGGTGTGGAACCCATCACAGCACCGCAAAGCCGCTGAAGCCAGCCTGCCTCTCTAGATTCTTCCTCTCTGGGCAGTGCAACTCTGAAAGAAAGGCAGCAGCTCCAGCCAAGGGCTTATACATAAAACTCCCATCTCACTGGGACAGAGCTCATGGGGGAAGGGGTGGCTGTGGGCGCAGCTTCAGCAGACTTAAACGTTCCTGCCTGCCAGCTCTGAGAACAACAGATCACCCAGAACAGTGTTCAAGCACTCCTAAAGGACAGACTGCCTCCTCAGGTGGGTCCCTGACGCCCATGCCTCCTGACAGTGAGACACCTCCAGCAGGGGTTAACAGACACCTCATACAGGAGAGCTTTGGCTAGCACCTGGCAGGTGCCCCTCTGGGATAAAGCTTCCAGAGGAAGGAGCAGGCAGCATTCTTTGCTGTTCTGCAGCCTTTGCTGGTCATACCAGGCAAACAGTGTCTGCAGTGGACCTCCAGCAAATCCAAGAGACCTGAAGAAGAGGGGCCTAACTGTTAGAAGGAAAACTAACAAATAGAAAGCAACAGCATCAACATCAACGAAAAGGACACCTACACAAAAACTCCATCTGAAAGTCACCAACATCAAAGACCAAAGGTAGATAAAACCACGAAGATGAGGAAAAACCAGCATGAAAGGCTTAAAATTCCAAAAGCCAGAATGCTTCTTCTCCTCCAAAGGATCACAAGTCCTCGCCAGCATGGGAACAAAACTGGACAGAGAATGAGTTTGACAAATGGGGAGAAGTAGGCTTCAGAAGGTGGTGGTGGGGGATAATAACAAACTCCTCTGAACTAAAGGTGCATGTTCTAACTCAATGCAAGGATGCTAAGAACCTTGATAAAAGGTTACAGAAAGTGCTAACTAGAATAACCAGTTTAGAGAAGAATATAAATGACCTGATGGAGCTGAAAAACACAGCACAAGAATTTTGTGAAGCATATACAAGTATCAATAGCAGAATCAATTCAAGTGGAAGAAAGGATATCAGAGATTGAAGATCAACTTAATAAAGTGTGAAGATGGGATTAGAGAATAAAGAATGAGAAGGAATAAACAAAGCCTCCAAGAAATATGGGACTATGTGAAAAGACCAACCCTATGTTTGATTGGTGTACCTGAAAGTGACAGGGAGAATGGACCCAAGCTGAAAAACATTCTTCAAGATATTATCCTTTACAGACAAGCAAATACTGAGGGATTTTGTTACCACTAGGCCTGCCTTACAAGCGCTCCTGAAGGAAGTACTAAATATGGAAAGGAAAAACCGGTACCAGCCACTGCAAAAACATACCAAACTGTAAAGACCATCGACACTATGAAGAAACTGCATCAACTAATGGGCAGAACAACAGGCTAGCATCATAATGATAGGATCAAATACATATATAACAATAATAACCTTAAATGTAAGTGGGCTAAATTCCCCAGTTAAAGGACACAGACTGGCAAATTATATAGAGTCAAGAACTATTGGTGCTGTATTCAGTAGACCCATCTCGTGTGCAAAGACATACATAGGCTCAAAATAAAGGGATGGAGTAATATTTACCAAACAAATGGAAAGCAGAAAACAGCAAGGGTTGCAATCCTGGTCTCTGATAAAACAGATTTTAAACCAACAAAGATCAAAAGAGACAAAGAAGGGCATTACATAATGGTAAAGGGATCAATGCAACAAGAAGTGCTAACTATCCTAAACATAAATGTACCCAACAGAGGAGCACCCAGATTTATAACACCAGCTCTTAGAGACCTACAAAGAAACTTAGACTCCCACACAATAATAATGGGAGACTTTGACGCCCCACTGCCATTATTCAGCAGATCAACAAGACAGAAAATTAACAAGGATATTCAGAACTTGAACTCAGATCTGGACCAAGTTGACCTAATAGACATCTACAGAACTCTCCACCCCAAATCAACAGAATATACATTCTTCTCAGCACCACATCACACTTATTCTAAAACTGACCACATAATTGGAAGTAAAACACTCCTCAGCAAATTCAGAAGAATGGAAATCATAACAATCAGTCTCTCAAACCACAGTGCAGTCAAATTAGAACTCAGGATTAAGAAACTCACTCAAAACTGCACAACTACATGGAAACTGAACAACCTACTCCTGAATGACTACTGGGTAAATAACAAAATTAAGGCAGAAATAAATAAGTTCTTTGAAACCTATGAGAACAAAGACACAGTGGACCAGAATCTCTGGAACACAGCTAAAGCAGTGTTTACAGAGAAATTTATGGCACTAAATGCCCACATGAGAAAGCAGAAAAGATCTAAAATCGATACACTAACATCACAATTGAAAGAACTAGAGAAGCAAGAGCAAACAAATTCAAAAGCTAGCAGAAAACAAGAAATAACTAAGATCAGAGCAGAACTGAAGGAGATAGAGACACAAAAAAACCTTCAAAAATCAACAAATACAGGAGCTGGTTTTTTGAAAAGATTAACAAAATAGATAGACAACTAGCCAGGCTAATAAAGAATAAAAGAGAGAAGAATCAAATAGACGCACAAAAAAATGATAAAGGGGATATCACCACTGATCCCACAGAAATACAAACGACCATCAGAGAATACCATAAACACCTCTATGCAAATAAACTAGAAAATCTAGAAGAAAGAGATAAATTTCTGGACACATACACCCTCCCAAGACTTACCCAGGAAGAAGTCAAATCCCTGAATAGACCAATAACAAGTTCTGAAATTGAGGCAGTCATTAATAGCCTACGAACAAAAAAAGCCCAGAACCAGAGGGATTCACAGCCAAATTCTATCAGAGGTACAAAGAGGAGCTAGTACCATTCCTTCTGAAACTATTCCAAACAGTAGAAAAAGACAGACTCCTCCCTAGCTCATTAAATGAAATCAATATCACCCTGACACCAAAATCTGGCAGAGACACAACAAAAAAAGAAAACTTCAGGCCAATATACCTGATGAACACTGATGCAAAAATCCTCAAAAAATACTAGCAAACCAAATCCAGCAGCACATCAAAAAGCTTATCCACCATGATCAATTTGGCTTCATCCCTGGGACGTAGGGCTAGTTCAACATATGCAAATCAATAAACGTAATTCATTACATAAACAGAATCAATGATAAAACCACATGATTATCTCAATAGATGGAGAAAAGGCTTTTGATAAAATTCAACACTGCTTCATGCTAAAAACATTCAATAAACTAGGTATTGATGGAATGTATCTCAAAATAATAAGAGCTATTTATGACAAACCCACAGCCAATATCATGGGCAAAAGCCAGAAGCGTTCCTTTTGAAAACTGGCAGAAGACAAGGATGCCCTCACTTACCACTCCTATTCAACATAGTATTGGAAGTTCTGGCTAGGGGAATCAGGCAAGAGAAAGAAATAAAGGGTATTCAGATAGGAAGAGAGGAAGTCTGTGTCTCTGTTTGCAGATGACATGATTGTATATTTAGAAAACCCCATTGTCTCAGCCCAAAAATTCCCTAAGCTGATAAGCAACTTCAGCAAAGTCTCACTATAGAAAATCAATGTGCAAAAATCACAAGCATTCCTATACACCAATGATAGCCAAATCATGAGTGAACTCTCATTCACAATTGCTACAAAGAGAATAAAATAGGAATATAACTTATAAGAGATATGAAGGACTTCTTCAAGAAGTAGAAACCACTGCTCAAGGAAATAAGAGAGGACACAAACAAATGGGAAAACATTCCATGTTCATGGATATGTAGAATCAATATCATGAAAATGGTCCTACTGCCCAAAGTAATTTATAGATTCAATGTATTTCCATCAAGCTACCACTGACTTTCTTCATAGAATTAGAAAAAACTACTTTAAATTTCATATAGATCCCAAAAAGAGCCCATATAGCCAAGACAATCCTAAGCAAAAAGAACAAAGCTGGAGGCATCATGCTACCTGACTTGAAACTATACAACAAGACTAGAATAACCAAAACAGCATGGTACTGGTACCAAAACAGATATAAAGACCAATGGAACAGAACAGAGGCCTCAGAAATAATGCCACACATTTACAACCCTCTGATCTTTGACAAACCTGACAAAAGCAAGCAATGGAGAAATGACTCCCTATTTAATAAATGGTGTTGGGAAAACTGGCTAGCCATATGCAGAAAACTGAAACTGGACCTTCTTTATATGTTACACAAAAATTAACTCAAGATGGATTAAAGACTTAAATATAAGACTTAAAATCATAAAAATCTTAGAAGAAAACCTAAGCAATACCATTCAGGACCTAGGCATGGACAAAGACTTCATGGCTAAAATACAAAAAGCAATGGCAACAAAAGCCAAAATTGACAAATGGGATCTAATTAAACTAAACAGCTTCTGCATAACATAAGAAACTATCATTAGAGTGAACAGGCAGTCTACAGAATGGGAGAACATTTTTGTAATCTATCCATCTGACAAAGAGCTAATATCCAGAATCTACAAAGAACTTAAACAAATTTACAAGAAAAAAACATACAACCCCATCAAAAAGTGGGCAAAGTATATGAACAGATACTTTTCAAAAGAAGACATCTATACAGCCAATAAACTTATGAAAAAAAGCTCATCTGGTAATTAGAGAAATGCAAATCAAAACCACAATGAGATACCATCTCATGCCAGTTAGAATGGCAATCATTGAAGTCAGGAAACAACAAATGCTGGAGAGGATGTGGAGAAATAGGAACACTTTTGCACTGTTGGTGGCAGTGTATAAATTAGTTCAACCATTGTGGAAGACAGTGTGGTGATTCCTCAAGGATCTAGAAGCAGAAATACCATTTGACCCAACAATCCCATTATTGGGTCTATATCCAAAGCATTATAAATCATTTTACCATATAGACACATGTACATGTATGTTTATTGCAGCAGTGTTCACAATAGCAAAGACTTGGAACCAACCCAAATGCCCATCAATGATAGACTGGATAAAGAAAATGAGGCACATATATACCATAGAATACCATGCAGCCATAAAAAGAATGAGTTCATGTTCTTTGCAGGAACATGGATGAAGCGGGAAACCATCATTCTCAGCAAATCAACACAGGAACAGAAGGCCATATACCATATGTTCTCACTCATAAGTGGGAGTTGAACAATGAGAACATATGGGCACAGGGAGGGAAATATCACACACTGGGGCTGTTGGGGGGTGGGGGGCAAGAGGAGGGGTAGCAATAGGAGAAATACTTAATGTAGATGACGGGTTGATGGGTGTAGAAAACCACCACGGTGCATGTATACCTATATAACAAACCTGCATGTTCTGCACATGTATCCCAGAACTTAAAGTATAACAAAAAATAAAAAACAACAACAACAAAAAGAAAATATGGTATATATATATACCATGTAATACTACTGAGCCATGAAAAGGAACAAAATAATGGCATTCACAGCAACCTGGTTGGAACTGGAGACTATTATTCTAAGTGAAGTAACTCAGGAATGGAAAACGTATGTTCTCACTCATAATTGGGAGCTAAGCTTTGAGGACACCAAGGCATAAGAATGATACATTGGACTTTGGGGACTTGGGGGAATGGGAGGGAGGGGGATGAAGATAAAAGACTACACATTGGGTACAGTGTACACTGCTCAGGTAATGGGTGCACCAAAATCTCAGAAATCACCACTAAAGAGCATATCTATGTAATGAAAAACCACCTTTTCCCCCAAAAGCTACTGTAATAAAAAATAGAAAAAATATATATGTATTGATAGGAAGCCCATTACCTACCGTGTTACCTACCTGGAAGAGCACATAAACCAAGAAACTGAGAACAATTCACTCGTGACAAAGGTAGCCTGAAAAGAATAAAAATGTATCAAGTTTAGTTTTTTTAAAAAAATGTTATAAATAGGAATTCAGTTTAATCAATACCGTTGCTTGCCACTGAATAAGGGTGTGTTAAAGTTTTATAGTAGTCACAAAATAAGAATTCATAATTAAATATCAATATGTTGGTCTCAAAAAGACATAGAAAGACTGAAAGTTTTAAAACAGGGACTCATTTAAAAAAAATAACATTATCAATGTTTTTATTGAAGTCATGAACTCCAATAACATTAAGATGTAACACAGTGAATAATGTAACACAGTGAAAGTGATATGCAATTCACTTAAGAGTAGTCCAAGGATGTAGTTTCCAGTAATATAGTTTTATCAAGATTAGAGTTTAGATCACTAAAGGAAGTTAAAAGATTATTTATTTAAGTCTTAAAAATGACAATTTAGGCTGGATGTAGTGGTTCATGTCTATAATCTCAGCACGTAGAGAGGCCAAAGCAGGCAGATTGTTTGAGCCCAGGAGTTCGAGACCAGCCTGGACAACATGGTGAAACCCGGTCTCTACTAAAATAAAAAAACAAAAAACCAAGTTAATTTAAATGTACCTTAAAGATAATAATGCCTAGATTGCCAACAGGTAGAATACAGTATACTTACGTTATCCTGTGGTATATTACCTGAGGTAATTTGTATTAGTAATCTTAGGAAAATAAATAAAAAATGACTATCTGACAATTTTCTTCCCAGCATTTATACTACATTAGTATTTTAAGATGTTTTGGTAGAGCTTCCTTAAAAGATATAATTTCATATAATGAAAACCACAGGCTACTAATTCTTTGTTGTAATGGTTTTTGGTTAAAAATAAATAATGTCAAGAAATCATATTCTCAGTTTATGGTACTCAGGGACAGAGGATCATCTTGTCTGCATGCCAGAAGATGATTTAGAGGAAAACAGGAGGCATCATATAAATACCACCTGACTTTGAAAAGTAGAAAAACTTTGGTGTTTAAATGGGGATTTTAAGTGGAAATGAAAGGTAATGCTATTTGATGGAAGGACAAAAGACCGTTAGGACCCTTTTTCTCTTCTGGCAGTAGGGATGGTGCTTTCTTAAGGAGAGAGACGATTACATTTGCAGTGATGACAGAAAGCATTTGATTGCTCATTGTAGAGAATCTGGTATAACCATAAGTTACTTGCCAAGATTAAAAGGTTGATTTTATGTAGAAACTTTTTGTTATTGCATTGATGTGACTTTTATCTTAAACAGAGTCTGTTAATAGATGCATTACTGTGACATTACTTCTAACTGTTACCTAGGATTTGACTTAATGAGAAATGACTAAACATTTCATCTCATATTTGGTATACTTTTCTTTTGTCATAAAAGAATGAGATTTTGGTACTAAATGAGAGATTATTTCATCCTACCTCTACTTCTTACTTACTTGCTTCTACTAAGGTTTTCTCAATGTATAAAGAAGGACCAAAAAAAAAAAGGGTCTTATTCTATATCATAGATAACAAATGAATCATGGAGTTAGAATTATCCTAACTGGCTCTAAAGATTAGAATTATATAATCAGCAGGGGATTCACTTAATATTTTAAATAGGTGAACTACATTCTACTAAGATTATGATGTAACTAAATTTACATTTATGATGTAAATTATGATTTTAGCTCATCATTGATCAGAAATGCTAACATACCATGATATTTGAATTGGAGTCTGTTCATCTTCAATAGGCTCTTCGTCTGATGAGTCAAACTCACTTGCTTGTATTGAACTAGGCTTCAAAAGAAATGTTATGTTAAATAACTGTAAATAATTTTTTTGTAGTTTTAGGATAGCTAATCCTTGCTGAAGGAATCCACACTGAATTCGTATTTGCAATGCATTCAGCCATCAACCCAGAATATCCATATGATCAGCAATATTAATAATAAATGACTGATATTTACTTTCCTATTAATAATTATAGTACTGAATAGTGGAAAGAGAGTTGGATTGGGAACCAAGAAATCTGGCTTCTGGTCTTGGTTCTGCCACTTACTGTATACTCTCTGACAAGCCAGTTTATTCTGAATCTGTTTTCCTCAACTATAAAGTGAGGAGATTTATTCATTCACAAATATTTCTTGGCTACCTTCATTTGCCAAGCTCTGGAGATGCAAAAGATCTGTAAGATAAATAGCATACTTTCCGTATGGCCGGAGAGACAGATGTGTCCATAGATTACAGAAGAAAGGTATTATATAAGTGCTGAAATGGAAGCAGAACTACACACTGTAGGGCAGAGAAGAGAGTGACCACTTATGGAGCTGGAGAAGGCTTCAGAGAAGAGATGCTTCAGCTGGGTTTTGAAGGAAGAGCAGAAGGTTTTTAAGAAGATAGGAAAGGCAGGGTGGCTTACGCCTGTAATCTCAGCACTCTGGGAGGCAGAGGCGGGTGGATCACCTGAGGTCCGGAGTTTGAGACCAGCCTGGCTAACATGGCAAAACCTGGCTCTTCCAAAAATCTGAAAATTAACCGGGCGTGGTGGCACACACCTGTAATCCCAGCTACTTAGGATGCTGAGGCAGAAGCATCACTTGAACCTGGCAGAGGTTGCAGTGAGCCAAGAACACACCACTGCACTCCAGCCTGGACGACAGAGCAAGACTCCGTCTCAAAATATAGGAAAGAAATTAAGACAAGGCAAAAGGGGAAAGGGCTTGTGTATTGAGGAACTGTGATATCAAAATAGAGATGGAGTAGAGGAGATGAAGCTAGAGAAGTAGTTTTACCCACCCTTTTTCTCAAAAAATAATCAACACATCGCCTAGTAGTTTGGTGCGGGTTGTGTACATGAACTAATCTGCCCCCAGTTTTATGAATCACTAGACTAGAGAGATTGAGATAGAGTTTGTATGCTGATCTAAGCAGTTGGGACTTAATCATGCAGCATTTTGACATGGAAGGCATCTACACTCCCTGTTGAAATTTTAAAGGATCAAAAGAAAAAGAAAAACGAAACAGAACAAAACCCACACCCTTTTCTCACTCCCTAGTTGGAACCAATTGAAAGATAAGGCATTGGAGAAGCAAACTGAGTTTTATTATTGTATATTAAATGGAGTGTGCAGCTTAAACCTGAGGCCAAGTGGGCTTTTCCCTTGTTCACCCCAGAATTAGAAAAACATATCCACCCAGTCACAGGAGGCCATGAACTGTCTGGGGCTCCTGTGTGCTACAAAGTGGACCAGAAAGCACCTTCTGCAGGCAGGCAGGTAGATCCCAAGAGAGAAGGGAAGAAAAAGTTAGATACTGGTGTTCAGTTCCTTCCAAACTTGGGGATCAGATAACTCAATGGGGACAGGTGGAGAAAGAGCTCAGGAGTGAAGGACAGCAGATGTCCCTCCACATAGCAACATAGGGATTATCAACGATAACCACTTAATGCCCTTTCTAGTTCTGAAGCTATATTCTACAACAGTCTTGGTACTGGAAAGATCACAGGATGGCCAATTTAGGCTTTTTTTTTTTTTTTTAGAGACAGGGTCTCGCTCTGTTGCCCAGGCTGGAGGGCAGTGGCGTGATCTCAGCTCACTGCAACCTCTGTCTCTGGGTTCAAGCTATTCTAGTGCCTCAGCCTCCGGAGTAGCCGGGACTACAGGTGCGCACCACCATGCTCGGCTAATTTTTGTGTTTTTAGTAGAGATGGGGTTTCACTGTGTTGGCCAGGCTGGTCTCCAACTCCTAGCCTCAAGTGATCCGCCCATCTTGGCCTCCCATAGTGTTGGGATTACAGACATGAGCCACCACGCCTGGCCCTAGGCTATGGATTTCTGTTGTTTTGGCTGTATCTGAAGTATTATCATCAACTGCCCCCAAACGAAAGACTTCCAGTAGGTTGTCAACCCCGGTAGTAGGTAATATGGGTTAGGTGGGGAATCTTCAGCTCCTTGCCTGGATCTGCTTTTTCTTTTAAGCAGCTTTGATGATTCATATTTCAAATTTGTGTGACCCATTCACCATGCCTCTGCCAGCCATGTTTATTAATCCTAACAGAGCTGGACGTTTCCACTTCCCCAAGCCCTGTAATTCTTAACGTCACAAGAAAAGGGCAGCATTGCCAGGTGGCCCTGGGGCATGGTGACAGCGGTGATGTCGCCCACAAGCCGGGGCGTGGCATTCGTACCCATGGTTTCCCCAGTGGGTGCAGGGCAGCGCCCGGACACCCTTCGGGGCTGGGATATCTTGCCCACTCATCGCTAGCACTCAAGCTCCTCGGCTCGGTTTCCTCCGTACAACGGGGCTCGGTATTCTTTGGCTGGGCGGTTGGGAGGCTTATGAGACCCCGCAGGCGACAGGTGTCAGCCCACAGCAGGTGCACAGCGAATGTCCGTCTTTCCTTCGTCGGCCATCGACCCTGTTCCTTCGCAGCCATCTCTCGTGCCCGTGGGGGGCAGCGTCACCTCCCCGACCCACAGGACGGTTACGGACAGGGCTGCCAGGACTGCCCTCCGGCCCAGGGCTGCCCTCCGGCTCAGGATCGGGTCCCCGGGAAAGCTTGCTTCCCTGCGGCCTCGCTCTTCCAAGCCACGGCACGCCTGACTCACCGGCTTCATCGCTGGCCGCGCCACGTCGAGACCAGTGCCGCCTCCCTCCGCAGCGCCGGCGGCTCACCAGTGCCCCGCGCCGAACCCGCCCCTCCCCTTAGCTCACTGGTTCTTCCTTCTGTGATGTGGGCGCGGCGTCTTCCAGCAACCAATCAGATCCGCTTCTGGTTTCTTACTCCGCCTTTGGGTGGCCGACAGCTCGTCCTCTAATCGCTGATTGGTTCCTAGAAGACCTTTGAAAGACGCGCGGGAGGCGGGCCCTGTGAGAAGTTGATTGGCTGGAAGGGTGCCCACCTCCTCCCGCCAGTTGAGAGAGTGCAGGGGCGGAGTCGGGGCTAAAGCGTCAGAAGGCGGCCCTAGCGTTTGGGGGGACGCTGGAAAGCTATGCTTTCTGATGGCAGAATGTCACCATGGTCCATAGGGTTGGGATTTTTTGTGTTTGTGACGGAGGTCTTACTAGGTTGCCCAGGCTGGCCTCGAACTCTTGGCCTCAAGCAATCCCCCCGCCTCAGCCTACCTTGTAGCGGCTAAGGTAGGGAGTTTTTTTTCTTTAAGTTGTAAATTTTTTCTTATTTTTTAAGGGCTCGGGGAAGCACTTTATTGGATCGTCACATGACAAACATCATATAGACTTTGTAATTATATATACACATACAAATACTAGGGAAAAAAACTAAAAAATCTAGAGTATAAACATATTTTATATGCTTGACGTTTTATTTTCTTTATGACTTCAGGAACTAGACAAGTGACAGTGTAGATAAATCTTCCTGTCCCCCAAATATGAATTAAATTATATTGTGTGAAAGGGAGATTATAAGATGCCAGGTAAGATAGGTCTAAGGGCCAGTGTTTCTACATAATTAGCTGTAATCTTTGAAAAATTTTTGAGTATGTTCCCCCCTTCTCCAGTCCCTATTGAAGTAGCCATAGGAAAGGAAGTCACCTAGAGCAGACCTGAGAAAAAAAATGCAGAAATTTCAGCTCCTGATTCATGTTGGGAAAACCAATGGGTATAGAGCTATTAGAAGAAATTCCTTAGTCAAGAAGGTATCACAGTTTGACTTAGAGACTGTATTAGTCAGGGTTGCCCAGAGGAAAAAAAAAATGAATAGGATGTGTATACATGCATTTAGAAACAGATTTATTTTAAGGAATTGGCTCCTGTGCTTGTGGAAGCATGATGAGTCCAGAATTGGATGAGGGGAGGCCAGTGTACTGGAGACTCAGGAAAGGCTGTAATTCAAGTCCAGAGGCTGTTGTATAACAAAGAAGAGGCAATGTTGCATGTCGTCTGAAGGCCGTCTACTGGCGGAATTACCCCTTGGTCAGGGCAGGGTCAGGCTTTTGTTCTATTCAAGCCTTTGACTGATTGGATGAGGCCCATCCATATTATAGAGGGCAATCTGCTTTACTCAGTGTCTCCCAATTTAATGTAAATCTCATCCAAAAACACTTTCACAGAAGCATCTAGAATGATGTTTGTCCAAATAACTGGGCACCATGGCCCAGCCAAGTTGATGCATAAAATTAACCATCCTAGAGATCCACAGAGATTTTCCATACTCAGGAAATCCTTTTAGATCTGTGCTGTTCAATATAGTGACCATATTGGCTGATTATCTCCACAATCAAAGGCTAAATTAGAAAACTAAATTTTTGTGTGAACTCAAGGCCTACTTTGGAAATACCTGCCTCTTTTAATATAGATCTGCTTCCTTAGACGAAGTCCTCAGGGTTCAGGAACAGACCACACCCATCACATATTTATAGCTATTGGTTTGATGTGTAAGTTTGCATTTCATGTTAGAAATGGTCATGGTACTGTGTACAAGAGAATGTAGGTTGGTATGTATAGCTAGACGTAGAGTCCTGCTTTTGATCAAATAACCAGTATTTAAGGTGCACCTATGTTTTGTTTTATGGTTAGGATTGTAGACTCTTTAAGCGGAGTGGCACAGTTTTAAATATATTTGCATGTGTTTGAAAGTAAACCAGGCTGGCCCCGGGTGAAATTGTGAAATATGGTTGGCTGTTGGTGTTTCGGGTCCTCATTCCTCATCTTTGACCTTCTCCTCTCAAAGGCAAGAATCCATAAGGCTGGGCTGGTGTGTTGGAGGAAAAGGGATGGTGGAAGCATCTGCTATGCTTGCTTTGCTACGAAGCCACTGAGGGATGAACAGTTCCAGAAAGTGGTTGAGCTGTGGAGTGTGTGGGATGGTGAAGCACACTCAGAGGCGTGCAGGTGAGTATGCTTAAAAACAAAGTAACCCTCAATGGAGATTGAGCTCTAGGGTGGGAACCAGGTTGTACCCTTGGAAAAGGGATCCTTGACCAGGAATGTTGAAAATGATAACAAAAGACCACAAAAAACAACTAACATCCAGCCTCACATTCAGTAGAATAAGCTCATTTAACCATAGGCATCTTTTGTGTTATTTCCAGGTGGACCATTTAAACCACAGGCTTATTTCCATCCTAATCTCAGTATCTTGAGCTCAGGATTTTATTATCAGCTGACCCTTCCCTTCCACTCTCCTCTCTTTATCTGACTCCTGGATGTTGAGAATGCCCACTCTGCCCTATCACCTGTCAGCCTTGTCTCTGGCCATCTTCTGCTCTCTCCCTCAGCTCCATCCCTGACTCCAGCCTTTGAGGAGTGATGATGGTGCTCTTCCTTCCTGGCCTGGTCATTCACTGCCTCATGTCCCTGAGTTTCTGCTGTTTCAATTTTTGCAGCCCCCAAACCTGGAATTGCCACTTTTTGCATTTTAAGAACAGCTGGGCTGGGTGCGGTGGCTCACGCCTGAAATCCCAGCACTTTGGGAGGCCAAGGCAGGTGGATCGCCTGAGGTCAGGAGTTCGAGACCAGCCTGGCCAACATGGTGAACCCTGTCTCTACCAAAAATACAAAAAAATTAGCCAGGCATTGTGGTGGGTGCCTGTAATCCTTGCTACTTGGGAGGCTGACACAGGACAATCACTTGAAATCAGAAGGCAGAGGTTGTAGTGGCCAAGATCATGCCACTGCAGTCAGCCTGGGAAACAGAGCCAGACTCCATCTCAAAATAAAAAAAAAAGAAAAAGAAAAAGAACAGGTGGATATACTTCTTTACATGCTGCTGGGATTGGGATGGAGATAAGGGATGGAAAGGAGGAATGTGGATGGATAGTACAGTGGGTAAAGCACAAGAAGTGGCTGTTGGTATAGCAAATGAAATAAATTTATCTTTTGTGTGTGTAGAGGAGTATATTATGAAAGATATGTGTTATTAATCCACATGTGTTATTTATAGATACTAAAAGTACAGCAAAGGGAAAAAAAGAACTTTAGTATTGTTATTTTTAAACAAATTTAATTCATTTTATTTTTATTTCTTCATTCTATTATTATTATTATACTTTAAGTTCTGAGGTACATGTGCAGAATGTGCAGGTTTGTTACATAGGTATACATGTGCCATGGTGGTTTGCTGCATCCATCACCCTGTCATCTACATTATGTATTTTTACTAATGCTATCCCTCCCCATCCCCCCACCCCCTGCAATCCCTTCTCTAGCCTCCCACCCCTCAACAGGCCCCGGTGTGTGATGTTCCCCTCCCTGTGTCCATGTGTTCTCATTGTTCAACACCCACTTATGACTGAAAACATGCGGTGTTTGGTTTTCTGTTCTTGTGTTAGTTTGCCCAGAATGATGGTTTCCAGCTTCCTCCATGTCCCTGCAAAGGACATGAGCTCATCTTTTTTTATGGCTGCATAGTATTTCATGGTGTATATGTGCCACATTTTCTTTATCCAGTCTATCATTGATGGGCATTTGGATTGGTTCCAAGTCTTTGCTATTGTGAACAGTATTGCAATAAACATACTTGTGCACATATCTTTATAACAGAATGATTTATAATCCTTTGGGCATATTCCTAGTAATGGGATTGCTGGGTCAAATGGAATTTCTGGTTCCAGATCCTTGAAGAATCACCACACTGTCTTCCACAATGGTTGAACTAATTTACACTCCCACCAACAGTGTAAAAGAGTTCTTATTTCTCCACATCCTCTCCAGCATCTGTTGTCTCCAGATTTTTTAATGATTGCCATTCTAACTGGCTTGAGATGGTATCTCAATGTGGTTTTGATTTGCATTTCTCTA